AAAAAAGTTTTTCAATGCAGTTCCTCACAAAGCGCTATTTTTTTATCTATTGTAAACACCGAAAGTGAGTCTTTAAACACGTGTTAAATAAAATGTACTGAAATTCTTTACTGCACACGTGCTTCAAAGTATTTTTTTTTTTTTGCCGAGCACCAAAGAAATTTAAAAAAAATTTATGAAAATATGTCAAACTTTAGAGGCAAAAGTATTTCAAGGAGCCTAGAACGAATATTTTCAAATAAAAATGTATGACACGAAAACATGTTCAAATATCACGTTTAATTTTAACAAATAATTTTACTTTTAATACATACTTAGTTTTATTGACCTATATATTTGTTTTATTTCCTCGCAAAAAGCATTGAAAACTGTTGTAAGAAACTTGAGCGTAAAAGGTTTCTCGAATTCTCGCTACACTCGTGTTTTCAATTTGTCCCTTATTCTTAAAACCTTACTTTCCGCACTCGTATCTTAAATAACTATTATTGTCTATGTCTGTATAACAAGTTGTTAAAATAAAGAAAGAAATAAAATGGCGATTAGTTTAATATAAAGTGATATTATTAAAGCAAAATGTATGTACAAACATTATTAGCCAATCGAACTCTACAGTACATTGGTGAGCCTACATGAGTAGGTATAAATAGGTACTACATTTTCTTCAATTCCCCATCCTAGAAATTATTCTTTCAATTGCCATATATTCTTATATTAGGCAATAAATATTCACAGTAATCGTCCATGAACCATTACCGCTACCCATAAAAAGTCGGAAACTATTGTAGTTGTGAATTTAACGTAACTTTTCGTACGTGTTCATGAGTATAGTTAAGTTAGGTCATTTTACTTAACTGTCGTAGTAGATAAGTTAGTAATTCTATTATAGCGGCAGCACGTCAACTTTGTACAATATTGAATTTTTTTCTTACAACAAATAGAATGCATAAAATAAAAGACTAGAAGCCAGTTGCAGAAACGTCCATTAAATCTTTCATTTATTTAAAGTGACATTATCCATACAATTTTGACATTCATTAGAGCTTAAAGGAGTCATTAAACCTTAATGAACATTTGTGCAACTCACCGAAAGTGTACAATCATGTATCAATAATTTATATTCAAACCCAAAGTAGCATTAGTTTACACCATAACACTGACTTTATACAACCGTCAGTGTTTCGACTTCGATTATTTTATGTACAAGCAGTACCCGCGACTTCGCCCGCGTGGGTAATAAATAACCTAAGTGCCTCATTCTTTAAATAATTTGAGCACAATTCTAGATCTGGATCTTTTTACTTCTACTTGTAATTCGATAAGGTCCAAGATGTCAAAAATGTTTGATGTCACGAATGATGATCTGATAAGAAATTATAAGCGAATGATTATCTGATAAAGAAGGAAAAAAGAAGAAATGTGTTGTGGATTATTTGTTTGCGTGTGTCCTTTGTGTAGTAGGTATATGTCTTTTGCTCGACCTCACAAAGTGGAATGGGATTGTGTAAGACTAAATTACCGAGTTAACTTAAAATTGTTACTTAAATTTAGGCTAACTGTGTGGATCTATAATTGGTTATCTAATATATATGACGACCACCGTAGCCGAGTGGTTCCTGCGCCGGTTTCAAGGTGTCACCATCTCTGAGGTTCCGGGTTTGATTCCCAGTCGGGTCATTATAAATAAATCTTTTCTATATTGTCTCGGGTCTGGGTATTGTGGTACCTTCGTTGTCTCAGATACTCCATAATACGGGGGCTTTAGCTACTCAAGGTACCCTCGGGCTACTCTACTTTACCTACTCTCGGGGCTAGAAATTAGCTGGAAAAAACACTTAAACAGACAAACAAAAATAATATTTGTTATATGTACCGTGTGGGTATAGTATAGGCATAGGTATTATGATATTTATGACTGTAACAATGGGGATGACGTCTGGGTAAAATAAATGAAATTATATTTAGTCCGTCAGTTAGATAGGTGAGGAGTGGTGGGGGTCGTTTAGTCACAGTTTCATAGAAAATGTACAAAAGCGTGACGTCATGTTATATTTCACCTCAATGTATTGCCGTAATTTAATGATTACGAAAAAAAAAATACTTACCTATTTAATATTTTTCATTAATCTATCTGACGGAAGTAAGGGTTAAGTAAAATACCAAATACTAAGGTTAAAAAAATGTTGACTTTTTATACGAAACTGTACGTGTCGTACGTATAAATACCATATTACCTTATAATTATTATGGTAGGTATGTAAATTTTCGCTCATAAACATGAAATACAGGGCCGGGCCTAGGTTAGGAAAGTAATGAGTGACAGGGCGCATGAGGGATTCGGTCACCTCGCTCACAAAAAAATCTATTTATTCCGTCAATTAGATAATAGTAAAATATTAGATACGTATTTTTCCTTGCTTCAACTTAAATAAGAAATGGCTTAGATAATAGGCACTAAAGTTGAGGAGTGGGGGCTCGCTACGTCACAGTTTTGTAGAAAATGTGAACAAAAGCGTGACGTCATGCGACATTTCAATTCAATGTATCGCTGTATTTTATTGATTACGCGAAAAATAAAATAAAATACCGTATTTATTATTTCTCAATAATCCACCTGATAGACAAACTAAATTAGTCGTCATGAGTATTCTGCTAATATTTCCGTAATAATAGAATCTCAACTAGGTACTCGCATTCTACCATTGTACTGTCTACTTAAAGTCCAATATTATCAGTGCAATGTCTTCCTCACACATCAATGGTCACAAATATATAACAATATTGGACTTCAAAGTGCAAGTAGTTGCATCACTATTACGTAAACATTAGGAGAATGTATGTACGTTTTTTGTAATATAAATTTGGAGAAATAAACAGTAGTATATTCTATATCTACAAATGTTCAAACGTATAAGCTTTGTACGATTTTTCGCTATACTAATAAAAAACCTATTAAAGTTAAAATATACTAACAAAAATATGCATGATAAAACCGTATAACGTGCCAAAATCTTGGGTAAAAGATTATTTGACTTGAGGCAACTGATATCTTGTTTCTGAACATGTGTCGTACAGTAAATCATTCTCACACAATCGATCTGCTTCCTTCTTTCTTTCTTTAATTCATATAAAAACCAAATAAAATTGATAAAATAGTTGCCTATTTGCTTTAATATCTTATCCACAAAAGACGATCTCTGAATTATAGAGAACTATTGTACTCAGTCTCTTCTTACAGAAAACTTACATTCAATTTATTACTTTCGAATGATGAAAATTCAAATGTTCTCCTTGTAAGTACAGTCAACAGTACGTCAAGCTACACAAAACTGTTAATTTTTCTACTTGACCTTTATACCTACGTTGTGGTTAGATGTAAAAAACCATTATGATAACCTGACGCGAAGCGCACACAAAACGCAGATTAATAATTCAACGTATGTCCGACAAAAACTCAGGCTTTACAATACTTTCAAAATAACAACCAGGGCCCCTATATACCCTAACGCCGTCTCTGTCCTAGAAAGATTAAATATGGAAATTAATCGTAGCGTTAGATGTATGTCAAATGTATTAAGTTCATTATATTAGGCGTATAACACAAAAGATATATGAAGTGCCTGTTGAAGTATAAACCCACTAGGTAAGTCTTGTGTTGTTTGTGTGAATCGTTCTGATGCTGCAAAGAAAAATATCACGTATACCTAAGGAATACGGTTCAACAATAATATAATTTGATAGTTTAATATCTTACATACCTACCTTGTGTACTTGATATGTAACTTATATTAAGTAATTTCTTCAAGGCAACCTTTACATAATATACATATATGTAAGATACAATCGAAAAATTGGGTAGTCTATGGTGCATTAACAAGTCCCAATCACAACGAAAACCATTACTGGTTAAGCAGGTAAATTGTCTATAAATACATAAACATAGATAGTCATACATATACCCATAAATATACACATTTACACTTTAGAATGCAAAGGATTAGTATGATTGCTGCAAAGCAACGGAGATGAATAATACAATAATAATATACGCATTTGGATACAGTATCTAGTAGTACGAATTTGTCTTCAAAAACTATGACTTAGTTTCATTAAAACGAAATCTATTTCATTACTATACTACACAGTTTACGATATCATTTATAGTTTACGTTAAAATTTACGAAGCATCAAATTACGCCTTTAGTGAAAACCATAATAAACTAAAAAATATAGTTTTCGAATGCTTTTCGAGTGAACGGCACTGAATCACATCCAAATGAAAGTAACTAAAATTATCTTAGTTTCGTCACTCGATTCAAATTTTCATGTGAGAAAGTGGATTGTTCCCTTATGAAGTCACACGTCATAATAACAGGTTAAAAAGATAGAGACAAAAGAATGTGGATACAATTCGCTACAATAGGCTAGTTGACAACTTTTTTTTATTTCATAAATAATTAGTCCATTAACATCTGAGAAAGTAACAGCATGTCTGCGATTAATAATTTCGGAGATAGGGTGCTGTGTTTGTAGAACTGCTGCTAGTTGGCCGAAAACGCTCCCTACAAATTCGAGGCACTCAGTGACGTCACACGGTGCTACAGTAGCGAAAAATGTATGGGCGTCTGGGCATTATTTGTAATATCTTTGTTATTTGTGCGTTTATGTTTATAGCTGTTATAATGAAAGTTGTTACATTTTTTATATCTATTAAATTAGATTAAATTAGCTTTATGTATTTTAGAAAAAATTTGTAGTAGATTTTCTCTACTGTTTCAAGTTTTCAAAGCGATTTCTTAACAAACAAATTTTTTTTGTCACTGATTTGATTTTCCAAATCGGTGACTAAAAATTTGTTTTGTTAAAATGGTTTATCATTTTCGAAGATATAACAAAAACCTGTATTTTCACTTGTAGGACACAAGCCTATTGTTCCTGTATAATAATACAAGTTATTAGTGTGTCATGTAATTATAAATATCGCAAAAAAATACACATGTTTAAACTTTCAACTTTAATTAGTTACAATAATATTTACAATATTATCATTTCATAGTATCACTGCGAGTCCTAAAGAATTATTTTTATATTATAAACTAAAGCTAAAGCTAAGCTTTTATCTGTTAAGATCATTATCACTCTGTAGCATTTTCTGGATTTCTTTTCTCAAAAAGTCCGCTTCGGTCTCCATCTCCTGTAAAGTCCTGGCTGGTTTCGATGGATGGCCAGATTTTAACCTAGAAAATTAACAGATGTCGCTAGTGTACTATTTCAATGTTTCTTTTTTCATCAAAAATGAACTTTGGTCATTACACCGTGTCACACGAGAAACTTCTATGACCGTATTAATGACACTATGCTCACTACACCGGATCAACCGCGGGCTATATCTCTATGTAACTCGTTGATAAAGAAACTTTAGAATTAATCATACAATAAGCAACTCATTAGAATGAGCACGAACGAATATGAAACGCCCTGTGCATGGCGCGTTCCCATGTTGGTCATTTACGGGACAGTCTAGTGTATACTATTCAATACAAAGATTGTTTTTGCTAGGATAATTCCTATTTCGGTCATTATACTATACGTTAGACAGACATTATAAATTATATGCGAATTTAGATCAAAAATAAAAATTATTTAAATGCGCTCCTAAGTAAAAGTCCTACATTATGTAAAGAAGTCAGCACATTGAAATGTTTTCATTAGGTTCTAAATTCTTTGTAATTAAGAAAGTTAATAATTAAAATTTTAAGGCATACAAGAAAATATAACAATAAAGAAAGATATACTCACTGATCGTGTTTAGCCAATTCCAGGTATATTAAATCATTTTCTATAAAGTCCCCCTTCTTTCTAGGCATTATGTGACAGTGCAAATGCTGAAACAAACAAAAAACACTTTAATAGCTAGGCACATTAAGCTTTATTTCAAACCGTGCAAGCCAATAAAAAAAAATAGCTTTTTTTAATCTACTAACATAGCATATAAAAAGAAATAAGGTTTTAAGTTCGACGCTGTATTTGATACAGTATAGCAAATCGGTTGTTCTTTTATTGCTACTATTTTTTATTTCGATTAGTATCACTCTATGTCGTGTCGGGTAACCATTTCTTAATTTTTATACATCAGATAAGTTTATATCGAATCAAATATATTCGATTTGTTGATGTTAAATCATACAAAAATGTGTGCTGTTAAAAAAGATGTTTATTTGAGTTTTAGATAACCTCATTATGTTGTAGACTGTACCTTAATGGTTTGTCCTGCGTCTGGACCATCTTGTATGGTTACTGTACAAGACCGCGTGCCATGGACTTTCTCCATCAACTGTAAAATTTTTAAACGATCACTTGAGCTCTTAAACCTAATTCCTCAATATGAATTATATATAACACGGTCGCCGAACAGAGAGAATTTCGTCCATTGACCTTTATCCCTACTGACAGATATTGCAAACATTTTTGGTTCACTCCACTACGACAAAATTGGTTAGACGCATCTGTGTGAGTGCAATAGCCGTATGTTTGACACGAGTTAATGAGATATGAAAAGCCAGGTGTACATTGTAGATTCTTTCCGATCGGCGCCAGTACTATAGATGCTACAAAATGCGAGCTAAATTCACACATAGATGATTTAGGATTTCTCCAGAGATTCTTAACCTTTTTGGCTAGTAAACTAAAATATAAATATATTTGTTTATAAGAGGATTAAATGAAGGTCTGAGGTTTGTCACTGTCATTGAATATTTTTCGTAACACATCTAGATTCTATTTCAGTTAGATAATTTTGGCAAAAAAATGTTAGACGATTCAAAAGTATTTTTAAGAAGTCTATTTGAATAAAGATTATTTTGGCTTTGACTTTGGGTAGGTTAAAGTATTAACAAGATACCTTTTGAACCAATCTTATAGTTCTGTAAAAGTCATCGGCTTCTTCTTCTGATAAGTCCTCGTTTCTTTCCGCCAATCTCAGTGGCGCAACCAAAACGTGCCCAGGTATAACGCATCTGTAACAACAAGGAATCTCTTATATAAAGATTAGAAGACAGTTTAGGTGAACGTGATATCTGTTCTCTGACAGTTTGAATGGGCTTAATATCAAATCTATGATAATTTGAGTGTGAGAATTATCAATTCTGTAACAATTTGAGTTAGTAGTGTATCAAGTTGCAAGGTATTTTTTAATATTCAGTGGATTTTTACCAATCGAACTACATTAATGAAATGAACTAAATCGAACTAGCAATTCATTAGGCAAGTTTTATGTGAATTGGCTGGAAAAAGAAGGTTAAAGTAATGCTGACTCGGAGCATAACACATTAACAGAAAATATGTATGATTTTTTTATTATGCCAGTAAATAATGTTTTGATTTTTGATGAAATAAAAACTAGTCTGTGTACAATAAAAATATACTCACCTCAAATTCACAAAGGCGTAACTCAATTTAGATTTAAAAAATACACATTTATCCGGAATTTGGACCTGTCCAAACACGTGTGTGGGCCCATCGTGCCTTTCACGTGGTGCATCTGAGATACTGGAATGTTGCATGTGTACTGGCAGAAGATCTTTGCGTAAACTTAGAGTATATAAAGAGTAGATGTCACGCCTAAAAATATTTTGGCTTATTATTACTGATTAGGCAGATTGTATATGCATTATTTAGTGATATTTGCAGTATACAAAACACACTAAGCAAATTCAATGTCAATAAATCACCTTAATATAAATTAAACTTTTTTCCCAACTTATATAATTTATATAATATTACATAAGATACACATATAATCTACGTAATATTCATAAAAAACGAATCATAGATAACATTTAAAAATAAGAAGACAAACCTTCTATGTTGAAAAACAGGCATATTCCTCCTCACTCTGACTAACTCTTCATTAGGCACATCAACAATTTTATAACTGGGCGACTCTTCACCGCAGTCAGCTAATACCTCCCCCCACGGGTTTACACACAAAGCATGTCCATAAGAACGTCGTTTTGCATTATGATGACCAGTTTGGGCTGCTGCCACCACGTAACACTGGTTCTCAATAGCTCTACTCCTAAAAGAACATCATCCACATAAACAAAACAATGAAATCATCATTTTTTTTTAATAACAAACTTTTCAACCTAAATTGTGTGCATTGGTGTATTTCAAAACCCATTTGGCATTCAAATAATACGCTTTCAGAATGTTTTTTTAAGTATCACATTAGAAGCGAATGCCTTTACCATCAAACATCAATCTAACGAAACTGTATACCAATGTTTAGTGTATAACAAAATTTTATTGTTACTAGATATATTATTTAAGTACCTGAGTAAAATGTGCCAATGCGCTTCACCAGTGGTATAGGTAAAAGCTGAAGGGTAAGTCAACATTTGTGCACCCATTATACTTAAAGCCGTACTAAGCTCCGGAAATCGCATATCATAGCAAATAGCCATACCTGTTAAAACATACGCAATTTTAAAAGCTTGCGTCATTAGATTCGAAAACTAGAAATATTTTTTTACATTATAGAATTATTCCACATTTAAAGTAACTTTTACCCAGTCAAAATGCGTTACGCTAGTGCGTGTGCGGCAGGGTAGTCCCTGCCGCATGATGAGACGACTGGGTCGCGTGGGACTCTCCCCCGCTAACTGAGTAGGTCACTCAATGGAGGCCTGCCCACTAAAACACATTTAAAGTGATACCTAAACAAATAAGTTATATCACTTTGTAATAAATTATTACCATATTGTAAGAAACTTAAATTTTAACTTTCTGTTCATTTGCATTTCCTTTATATATATGGATAATAATAGAAAAGCTTATTAAAATGCAAACTTTAATAATATTAAAAATACCTATCACTTCTTCCTTTCCTTAGGTGTTTTCCCAGATCTTCGCGCATATGAGCAAAACACATGGGCAAAAGAATTTTTATAAGCGCTCCAGTAGTTATGAAACCTATTCAATCAAATCAATTATTAGTGTAGTTTAAGTTACCTATTTTACCAACTGGTGTATCTACAGGAGTGACTACATGTCCTCCAGCATGTGAAAAGTCGCTCTCTTTCAATCTCACATTTCTCTCTGGTATCTCAACATCAAACAAATGTAGTTTCCTGTAAGCTTGCACTATATCTCCACTATCATTTATAATCAAATGTGTGTTGAACATTTTATCGGGTTTTGATTCATCCTAGAAAATATAGATACCATGAATTATCATTGAACAAAAAATATACTAGGTAACAACATTCACCGATGGCATCAACCCTATTCAGCAGGAAAGGCAAGGCAACTTATGTCTAAGAAAAAATGTTATACTTACAAATAATACAAATACAAATAGCAATTTATCATAAGGAAACTAAATATCAATATGGCATTATGAACGCAAAATTACCAAATATTATAAAGCATCAAATAAAGAATGCTTTTGCTGTTTACTTTTAAAATAACATGGGAATAGTAGGAGCACTTTTGGTCCTTGTTACTGACATGTGATACTTGTGATTTAGTAAACGTGATATAAAATCAATTTACTACTCAAATTTATAACAATTACATGCAACATAGATATCAGTAACATACCTTACTAAAGTGGGACTAGGCAGGTAGACTACCTTATGGTAATAGTTTCCTCACTATGAAAGTTTGATAGATTTAATTACATCATTCATACCATAGTAATTTATATCACATTAGGTTTTATAAATAATAAAAAATAAGGTTCATTAACAAGGTATCAACCGAATAGTAGTAAACATCTACTTATATTTACTGTCTACTACATCTATTTCAGTAGTTAATACTTACTAAATAAAGCTTTCTATAGATAGCAAAAATAATAAAGCAACAAATAGCAAAATATAACATTTGTTAAAATAAAATTTCAAAGTATACATATAAACAAACCTTATAAATTTATAGAAAATTAAATACCTTTTCATGTACCCCACCCATAGACAACCAGACTTTATACTTAGCAGCCAATTGTTTGTATTTGTTTACAATCTCACCAGTCAATATTGGTTCAGCAAATTTCACTATATCGTTCTTATTATCACATATATAATCACATGCTTCTGGAAAAAATATCATCTGTAACAATTGTTGTAATTTTATATTAACCTTAATTCAATAGATATAAGATCCATTATTGTATTATTACAGATGATAATTTAATCAATATCAGAAATTAGTCTGGTTTTTATAGCATAATGTGCTGTTTATTGTACATCTGCTCAGAAACAAATGTTATGTCTTATTTTACTACTACATGTGTTATAAATAATAATCATGTAAACATAAACTGAGTTTAAAAATAAAAAACATTGAAAAACTGCAAAGATAGTTAAAAAATTCAAAATTCAGGTAAGGATTTGATGGCCATGCTTTTAACTTTATTCAAATGAAGTTAAATGTACTTGTGAACCGTCTTTGTAGTTCTTAAAAATATTAAGACATATTTAAAGGCAATTTTAGTTTAAATTAAATATTTTAGTGAGAAGAGCATCATCAGGATAATTTACATGATGTATTTCTTCCAATTTGTTTTTTATTTAATTACAAAACTACCAATTCCATTTTGAGTTTTAACAGAACCCCCTGGTGAATACACTTTTTCAAACACATAGTGAATCATTTTATTTGATCAATTTGGCATTACAATGCTATACATACATAATTAAAAATATTTAAAAAAAACCCACTTTTTCCCTAGTACTCTGAGATGGAATCTATCTCACATACTGTCTCAGAGTACCAGGGACAAAAGTTTTTAAGCATTTTTCATTAAAAATAATGAATCAGCAAAATTAATCCATAAATGTTGAAGATATTGAGGAATACTGAAAACATCTTCTTAAGTCAGTTAAAAAACTTTTCTCTCTTACCTGTGCTCCGTCCTTAGCAGCATCATTAACAAGTTTACTAACAACACTTAAGTTCTTTCCTTTATCAGCTACAGAGGTCATTTGGCAAACTGCTATCTTGTTACTATTCATATTTGTGCTATCACTAGCTTTTCTAATAAAGACTTCCCTGTATACTTTTACCAAAACTTTTCGACTGCAGAGCTGTAACTTTATTAAAATTCATAAAGTAAGGTTAATGTAAATATCAAAGAAAGCAACTTTAGAGTAATAAAAAAGACAAATCAGCGCAAAACAATAATGTTTTAAAAGGATAATTTAAACATAACCTGAACTTATAGGTATTATAGACTTACACGCATTATACCCACTGTAACTTGTTAAAATAAAAAATAAGTACCTATTTATTTACAAAGAATTTCCAAAAAACTCCGATTTAAATAAAAAAAACCTAAGGGATCCACTGACAATGACATTTGTATTTTCTAAGAAGGCGAGATGAAAAAAAATCTAACCTATACAGCCATATATTTACATAACGTCAGCGTCAGAGCAGGATCTTGTAATTGCAATTTTTTTTTGAAAATGTTATTTTGTTTTGTATTTAGTTTTAATTGTTTTCTGTAAAAAAATATTTTTTGTATTTAGACGGTCCTGCGCTGACGCTGACTAGTTAAGATAAGCTAGTTAAGATAAAAATAAATCAAATGTGACCGCATGAATTAGATCCCTTATCTAGTTTCAAAAAAGATTATTCAATGTCAATGTCAGTTAATTGACAGACTTTATTTATTATTATTATCGCCATCTTTAATGGATGGATGGATGTATTTTCAGGAAAAGGAAATAATTACAAATGACAAGGCTGTATGGGTTTAATACCCTTTGGACCAAAAAACTCTGGTAAATTTTTATTAAAAGGAAATGATTACAAATGACAAGGTTGTATAAGCCAAAAAAATCTCTCCTTCTTCTCCTTTCTGCTTAACCCAAGATTTGGCAGTATAGCTTAGTTCCTTTGATTGGACGAAATCACTACTCTTTGGTTAATTGTCACTGTCATGACTTGACAGTTACTCGATGAAGTTTTTTGTTGTGATCTAGAAAAATCTGATAAAAGCCGAGCTTCTATTTTCTATATTTTTAAATAGCTCTTTACCGCAATTATAATTAAGTGTCCAGAAAAATGTCAGGCAAAACGGATACTACGCCACCTGAGGTTGGTAACCTCGTTCCTGTTACTTTATAACTAAAAACTATTATACAAAACTGCTTTCCAGTTTACTTTCTAGAAGAATGCTGTGAAGTACGTAATATGATATCAGACTGAAAAATTGATGTCAAGTGAATTAATTTTATTTCTTTGTTGCATAAAAGATTGTTATAGTCCCCTGTACAACAATACAATAAAAATTGAAATGTTAATATTTGTGTCCAAATATAATTATAAAAGATATGTTTGTTTTGTATCTCATAACCAGTGGTCGGAATTAGTTAGAGTTATTCATGTACTTACACTGATTTCATACAGCGAAAGAAAAAGTGGATATGCCTCAAATCCCGAGATTAATTTTAAAGAGCAGAAAAAAACCCGTGGTTTTTTAAAGAAAAAGTTATTTACTTTTACACAATTTAAACTACTGCACGCACGACGTTGCCAAACTTACATCAATGAAAGAAAGAAATAAAGAAATCCCGGGAAGGTCCACATTAATATCAACATTTCGATGCAAGTACATAAATAACTACCTAATTCCGACCTCTGCTCATAACATATTCAGGTCCTTATTGAAAATAAAAACTTGATTTTATATCATTAATTATTTATTTCAGGCAGGAAAACCAAAAATTAAGCATGACTGGTACCAAACAGAGTCACATGTAGTCATCACAATTTTGATTAAAAATGCCCCTAACGATAAAGTCAAAGTTCATTATGGAGACCGTAGTGTAAGTAAGATTTGGTAACTTACTATCTTTTTTATTGGAATTTAATTATTATCATTAGCTTTCTTTAAAATTGATTGAACAGTTGTCTTCATTAATGTACATAGATATATTCAACTATATATATTAATAGTATGCAAATGCAAAACTAATTTAATGAGTACTGTCTAGCCCTATATTAATAAATAAAATAGCCTTTTATAGCCAAAAACAAGATACAAGTTTCATTTGTAAATGGATAGATTGGATTATATTATGAGCCTTAGAGCATACACCTCCTCCAGCTGCTTCCAATAATCTCTGTCTGCGGTTACTCTCATCCAGTATGGTTCCAGGGTGTGGCAGATCTTGTGCTCCCACCTTCTGTTTGGGCATCTTACTCTATTTTTATCTTGGACTGCGTAGCGTATGTCCAGTACATCCCCATTTTAGATGATCTCTGCGTTTTAATATATCAACCACTTGCAATCTACTGTGTCTTTGTTTTAATATGTAATGTATTATATTTCATAATTTATTTTAGTGCCCAATATTTCTTCCAGCCATTGGATATTCTTCTGTCAACTTTTCTGGACATAAGGTCTTTTGGGGATTTGACCCAGCTAAATATTCTTAGATAAATATATTCCTTAACATAACTTAATGTATTACCATTCAGTACAATATCTACCTCCACACTTTATACTTTAGTTGTAACTGTATTTATTTCAGGTCTAACTTCATTACTTTTGTTGACTAGGGTTTCCACCATGATAGTTAGCTTATAAAGATCTTCCTCTAGCAAAACTATATCATGGAACCATGAATGATTTAAATGGCTGCTATTTATGTTTAGACCATAGTTGTGGCAGCCCAATTTTCCAAAAGTATTCTGCATCAGGGCAATGAAAAGTTTAGAAACATGGATCTCCTAACCTAACCTCTCTATTAAGTTAAGTTATAGGGAAAGGATCTCTACATAATTCCAATTTTATGTGACTCTTGCTCTTGAAGCATATATTATTGGTAATCAATCATTGGGCTGAGTCACAAACTATTCTTTTGCACAAGAAGGGGTATATAGACAATATCGGCTACTATAGATATATGAAATGTGTACAAAGTATTTGCAAAAATAATCATATGATGATTTAAATTGAGTATTTTTTCTATTTAGCTCTCTGTTACCAGTGCATTACCACAATCTGACTCCGAATACAGTTTAGAGTTGGAATTGGCACATGAGATTGTTCCATCTATGTGCACTTATGTGGTAACACCGTCCAAAATAGAAGTGAAACTACGAAAGAAGGAGGGATTGAGATGGAATGTGTTAGAAGGAGAGGGGAAAGAGGAGGTAGTGAAGGCGATACCTCAAGGTATGATTTAATCAATGAATACTTATATAATTTGAAATTGGAATTATAGCTAGCTTTCTTTTTTCAGAAGTTAATATAATCTTAATTTTTTTTTTTCTAAATCTAAAAATTCATGTTATCAATTTATGAAGGACAGCAATAGTTAATTATATGTATGTATATATCTATATCTTTATACAATGATTTAAATGTATAAATATAACTACATTAAGCTCTAATGAATGTTCTAAATTTGGCAATTTGGATTAGTAATAACTATCTACAATAAAGATTATTGTGTAATTGGGTGTTTGTATCCTATTATCAAAGTATTTACTCCCTCCCCTATTTCAGTTCTTTTTTTAAATTATTCATATTTTAACACAAATGTTAATATGTAGATGTTGTTCTTATTCATATTGTTGGATATGCATATGTGATCTTTATTACAGCTGTCATTGATGCGTCTGGTCCACAACAGCCACCTAAACTATTCAAAAAAGACTGGGATAAAATAGAAAAAGACATTAAAAAAATGGTAAGATTTCATTCCATGATGTTGTGTTATTGTAGAAATAAATAATAATAATTAATTAATTATATTAGGTCCTTACATATGAAATAAGCATTTTGTTGTACTGGCCACTTTAATCACAAATTTCTCCTTCTTGGTTCGGAATTCCAAATTCAAGTTTATACAGCCATTTACTCATGTATTTGTGTTTTGTTAGGCGGCATTCATTTGTTTTTCTCTTCTGTTTGTCCTATTTACGTGTTATTTACTAGTACGAGTTCCACTGTGGTACCAGTGCTGTGGAAAAGGCTCAAAGGGTTAATGATGTGTATGGCATTTGTGTCGCAAAAGAAAACACAGTGCGTTTTTGGTTCCAACGTTTTCGTTCTGGAAATTTCGACCTGCAGAACAAGCCCCGTGGACGGCCGGAGAGCCATTTTAATAATAAAGAATTGAAGGTTATTGTGGAAGCGCATCCATCGCAAACCACGTCCGAGTTAGCTGCAGGCTGTGGTGTTAGTGATAAAAACTGTTTTAATCCACTTTAAGCAAATTGGAAAGATTAAAAAGCTTGAAAGGTGGGTGGACTAGTGCCGGTGTCGTTCATTACAATTATCTCAAGTCTGGCCAGACGATTACAGCAGACGTCTATGGTCAACAATTGCAAACCATGCTGGAAAAACTAGCTGTTAAACAAGTAAGGCTTGTCAATCGCTCTACGCCACTGCTACTTCACGACAACGCTAGACCACACACTGCACAACAAACGGCTATTAAATTAGAAGAGCGTCAACTGGAATGTCTAAGACATCCACCGTACTCCCCGGACCTTGTTCCAACAGATTACCATTTTTTTTCCAAATTTGGATAACTTCTTGTTGCAAGGGAAAAAATTCAACTCCGATGGGGCAGTGCAAATCGCCTTCAAAGGTTTTATTAATTCCCGTCCGAATGGTTTTTTTAGTATGGGGATCAATGAACTACCTATGAGATGGCAAAAGTGCTTAGATAACAATGGTTTATATTTTGATTGAATAAATATATTAAAAAATATTTGACTTTTTGTTCCTCCCATACCAAACACCAATTTCATATGTAAAGGCCTAATACTTGTTTTGAATATATATGAAATAGTCGTATGTGTAAGCCTTGTTTAAAAGTAATGCCATCTAGTAATAGGTATAGAAACTAAGTACCACTCGTACTAACTAACATGACACCTGATGGCCTATTCTATTTCGCCAAAATCGAAATTTAATCAATTTACGAAATGCGTATGATGACTCCGAAGAATTTTAATTTCCTATAATTGATAATGGAAAGTAGGTAGGACCTGACGCTGCCTCTGATGCACTGATAATTATCATGGATATGATTTCAAGAAAATTATAACATCAATTTTCGAAATTCGGAATATATCAAAATATATTCCGAATTTTCGTTCAACAACAAATAGAATAGGGCCTGTAGTGTCGTGTTATTTCATACAAGTAGTAATTAATCTTATAACATAAAATAAAAATCATGATATATAATCAATCAATGGATATTTTATTGTAGAACCCTGCTAGTAATAAATATTTTAATAGATGTTTACTATTAAATATAGCTATTAGGTGTTATGTTGCTATACCGTTTTAAAATATATCTTTTTCAACACTATTTCCTAGGAAGAAGAAGAGAAGCCAGAAGGAGAGGCAGCACTAAACGCTCTCTTCCAAAAAATATATGGAGAGGGTTCCGATGAAGTCAGACGAGCTATGAACAAAAGTTTTGTAAGTACATTTTATAATTTTACAACTTTATAATTCTGTTGATATAATAAGTCGCAACATAGATCAATGATTGATGTCCCTTCTGCTGGGGTACAGACCTTCCCTGTAGATTGATTAAAATCAAATTGTATAGGGAGAATGGGACATGACCCTCCACACAAGCCCAGTGCGGATTGATGGGTGTTATGTCTGCAGATCCAACTGGGACCAATGACTAAACTTGCCTTCCGAGGCACCCAGGAGCAGGAGCAGAAATAGTAAATTTTTGAGCACCCATCCCATGACCGATCCGTGCGAAAATTACTCAACTTCCGTCAGCAAGCTCTAAATATAACTTTATCTTTTTCTTCTGATAAATATAACTTTATAACGTCGTTCAATTACTTCAAAATTTACAGGTCGAATCAGGGGGTACAGTACTAAGCACCAACTGGAACCAAGTGGCCAAAGAAAAGGTAGAAGTCAAACCACCCGATGGGCTGGAATTCAAAAAATGGGAGTAAAAAGAAGAATTTAATAATCTCGTCACTTTCATATCCATAATCATCAACGTTTTGAAGAGAGATGGAAGATTGTGATAGTGCAATGAAGTTTTATTTCAGTTCTAGATAAATATAATTTATTGATACTTCTTCTTTATACTCAAAAATGTGTTATGTTCATAGGATCACTAGTATGCCAACTAGTCAAGCAATATCTATAACTATACTATTACTTACTTAATCATCTAATAAATGACAAGGTGTCTTTTTTTTAAAGGATAAAATTAAACAAAATTTTACTTAGATTGAAAAATATTTTAAGCGATATTATTGATGTGAGCTTTCTTTTTGAAAGCTTCCAATAACATTGAAATGTCTATTTTGTTATACCGACAGGTTATAAGGCAAAGCTCAAATTTAAGTTTCGCAGCTTAGATTAAGTCGTCGTTTTCATTGGATAAAATAAAAACTAGAAGAGTAAACGATGCGATGACATCGTACGACAAGATCAAAAATACAATCGTGCGATGGGTTGGTGCGATCGCGTAATGTAAGTCTTGAGACCTGGAAACTAGACCTTCATCTGCCCTTCAGTTCAGTCCTTCTGCAAAAAGAAGATCACTATACCCTATTTGTCTCTACTCACGCATGGGTAGTTGTTTTCTTGGAGAGCATAAGAGAAAGATTCGACTGTTTCTTGTAAATGTCTGTTACCACGAAATTCTTTATATTTCTAGCTAGGGCAAACTTTGTTTACTGTAATGCCTCTACGCATTTATTAAGAAACGTAAACTATCGCATCGTTTACTTGCACAATCTGCAATCATAAGCCAGTTAAGATCAGAGCGCATCCGGCCTTCAAGTCAGATAGGACTGACAAAGCGAGGTCCAGTCAGTTTGTCTTTGGTCAAGTAAAATTTGCGTTACTAATTTTATAATCATATAAAATCCCCATGTATTTGAATAAAATCATTCATTTACATTACCCCGTCGTGTCAAACCCATTCGTTGGAACGAATTATATACAGTCATTTTAATAAAATCAACTTGCCAAAGTATTACCTGTTAGCTTCCAGTGTTTAGTTTTTATGACATTGAGGTATATCGTAATCTGTAGCATTTCTAACGTCTATAATTTAACTACAGTCTTAGTAAATAATGATATTTCGTCGTACGACGAGATAAACACACAAAACACCTTAGTTTAAGTTATGTCGCAACGCACGATTATCTTTCATCTTACAATTAATCGCATAGTTTGATCGTACGATTGTTAACCGATTAGGAGCCCACTATTTGTGTTACGTATCTAACAGTTGTATTACGAATGTGTGAATAATGAGACTGTAAGTTTATATGTTATTAATAAAAACAATGTTTATATTAAGAACGTTCGTTTTATTAAAAACTTGGCTAAGTGACTAGAAGCACACAATCATATTTACACTACAAAATTGGTACTGGATATAAAATATCAAATAATATCAAAAGACATCAATTAGGTTAGGTTGTACAAAACTTTTTAATTATCCCTGTTAATTTTAAAACTGAACACTGTGCTATTAATTTCAAAATAGTATGCAAAGATTTTTAATTCTTTTGCCTACACAAGTATGTAACAGCAATGGAAATTAAAAGGTTTTGGTGTTTAATTTTAAAACAATAGGGATGTGACTGATTTTTTTTTCTGCCCGTCGGGTAGAATATTGAAGAATATGAAACGTGTATTTTTTTATTGCGTAATCGTTAAATTCCAGCGATACATTGAGTTAAAATGTCACATGACGTCACGCTATTGTACAAATTGTAAGTCGACTATTCAACTTTAATGCTTGTTATCTATTTCTTGCTAAATTGGAGCAAAAAAAATACGTATCTAATATTTTTCTATTATCTGATCGATGGACTAAATAGATTTTTTTTTTTACCCAGAAATCATCCTTATTGGATAATTAAATATGGCAGGATACATTCGATTGGTTACTAAAAATGGTATTTTCTCCGGATTATATAGCTTAACTGGATATTAGACGGTTTATTGCAAAATAATCACTCTCAATGACCCGTGAATGACATTTTATATTTGGACAATAAATGTTAAGTGAACGCAGTGATAATTTAATACTCAAGAGTTTCTTTTATTTATCGTTCAAACCGATGAAACGTTAGTGATGAACGATTAAACTTTTTATTAAAATACATCATTTTCTATGCTTCATTGATGAAGTAAAATAATGAACCGTCTTATATCGCCTCCATGATGGTTGTTTACCTATCCTGGCCGAAGAAAACGGACGAAACGAATATGCTCCTCGCAAATGAATGACGATACGTAAATTCTTATGTCACGCATAAGAATTTACGTACACGTAGCGCGTTGCGCATGCACTGCCAAGAAGTGGAACGCTATCAGTGTTATTAATAAACAAGATTTAGCGTTGGAGTAAATTTACGCTGAGACTGCATTTAATATTAGTCAAAATTCACATTATTAAATAGAGACTTAGGGTAACCTCATACCAGGTTCTACGGCAGCAATATTTACTCCTAGAAGGTGGTAAGTTTGCTTATTCTCTGTATAATATGAATTTGGACTAATAATAAAATTGCAATTTTAGCGTAAATTTACTCTGACGCTTAACCTTGCTATTAATAAAGCACTGTATAAGTGCATATAACGTAGACCTGTTTAATGCAAAAGTGAATAGATTCCTTCTAAGCAAGCTCGTCCCACCGAAGATGTCATTCATATTTTTGGGCTAGATTGAGGTCAAGAGTGAGAGGTAGTTAATGTTTTCAATGACGAATATTGCTTAAATTCGTTTCTTTCGCCTACTTCGGCTCGTTATATTGCGATAGAAGTGAGTTTCCTTAACTGTTGATAGGTCAAAATGCTTGTAAAAATATTTTTTCTCTTGTAGTGAGAATCAAGAACCACCTTTTTTCGTTGACTATGCTGATGTCCTTTCCTGATTATGTAATCAAGATTTAATTGACACAATAATAAATAAACTACATGTAATATCTAATCAACCGTTGCCACTAGTAGCGTTAAACAAATCCATAGTACGCGAGTATGTTTGCACGCGTCCCTCGTGTATGGTGGATATATCTCCAGAACGTAGTTGCAACCCGTTCCTTACTGGAGGCACTTTCTTACCGTTCGATAAAGAGACATTCGATTCGGAATCTGTTAGAAAAAAGTCGAATAAATTACGAAATTCAATAATAATTCATCATCACATTCAGATTTGACTGTACTAACTTACTTAAAAAATAACAAACATATTAAAGTATCGGATAAGCAAATCATGATGAGTTATCATTTGGCAATGGTTGGATGACGTCTTAACTTTAACTGTATACTATAACCGCCTAAGTTTCGCTATTGTTTTAATATGCCAAGAAAGAGGATGGTGCAATGCATTCCACAGTAAATGTTAAAGTCAGCGTGACAGATATTGTCATATTAGACTTAAACCTTTGCTTTCACTGTGACTGGTGACGTTTTTTCGAATGAAAACTCCGAAGAATACTGAATAAATTTGACATTTACATTTACCCGATGCACATAGGTACTTTGCCTAAATGGCTTAAGAAAACCAAACTAATTACAAACTTACCGTCTTCATCACTGACGATTTTCTTTTGCATAGCAACTACGCATGGCCCTTTCGCTAAAGACCAAGTCGGCACCGGTGCATCTTTTATAGGCTCCAGAATATTCCTTCTGGACCTCAAAACGTTTGGCAAATCACCCCTAGAAAACTCCTTGGCGATCTCCCCGTTACTATAATTATTTTCATGCGGTAACACAGGTGCCTCAGCGGGCAACACCGTTTCTCTTTTCGATATATGACTTTCTACTGTGAATATCTCCCTGTCTCTTTCATTGAGTGTTGGTTTGATGTCGTCAGATGCGTTTGTTTCTGTGCTGTCTTGTTTCGAAATGCCGTTTTGGCTTGATATTGAGTCTAAACTCTTTGGCATCCCGTTTAGTTTAGGAGTGCCGTTTTCTATTGAAAGAGGGGGTGCCGAAGCCATATACTGATTGTACATGTTGCCTATCAGTTCTTCCGTTCTTCTGTAAAAATTAGAGGCGAAATATTTGAAGTCAAATGGACTGATTTATATGTTGGAGACAGTGACAACACATACGGTTAGTTGCACAAATGTCCGTTAAGGTTTAATAACGATTTAATCTCTAATGAATATTCTTGGTCATTTTTATCGGTAATGTCGCTTTTAAGCTAATAAAAAATTTAATGCGCATTTGCTCAAAAGTGATTTAATCTTACAACAAAGTCGGATCAAAGGACCTTCCAATTTATTTATCAATATAGAGATTTTTCCTAGTTATTTTGCCTACGAGTTGTAGGATGAGTAACCGTTATTATCATCATCAGCCCTTTTACGTCCCCAGTGCAGGGGCTCCGGCCTTCCTTATGGATGGTTAAGGAGATTGGACTATGAAGGGTCCATACTAGCGCAATGCGGACAAATTTATCATCTCAAACTTAAAGGCGCATTAAGCTGTCATCTACATTCGTCAACATCCAATAATTCCGTCTGTATATTACAGTTGCATGTAAATATGTATTTTTCAAAATCAAAAATTTGACATAATTAGAAAATGTGTGTTTTAACCTTGTAAGAGGGATGATGACCGTCTGAGGTGTACCGTTGCTCGGATGGTAAGGATTAGGGCCGAATCCGTCAAGTGCGGAACTTCCTGTTACCTAAAATAGAAAAGTGAATCTTGGAAATTATCTGGACGACTTTATTCCATACAAATATTTTAATCGACTAAATGTTGGTAAAAATTAAAAACTTTTTCATTCTACTTCTTTGGTGTCATCTTTTTATTACCTAAAACCGCCCCCTGATCTAAAAGAAAAGCTATTATAGATTGTTTTTTTAGCTGATTGTAGGTATAATTAACTTTAGCTTTGCTGTTTTGTAAGTATAATCGTAAGAATTATCAAGACTTCTCCCCTTGTACGAAGAAATAAAACAATCTCTCCCTCCTCCCTTCCAATCGTCTGACGTAATAAACGGATATCCTCTATTTGTAATCACTTCTTTATTTAAAAACAACGAATAAATCTAGTCATTTCTGGCATTGACTTTTATACATAGATATTTCAATAAGAAAAAGTACTTTGAACTGTTACAATAAGGTATATTTTTACGTCAACGTATATATATATACCTACCTCCATAACCCCCACTTGTGTCGTCCTCACATGATAGGGAAAATTTTTGTTTGCAAAAACTGGTAAAGTCAACAGCTGGAACAAAAAAAAATCCATCATATACCATTCAACATTTTAAAATTAAAATAAAGTCTCCCCCTTTCTGTCATGTCAAAACAGAGATAAACAACAAATATAGAATTTCCCCACTTGTCCGTGTACCTCTCTGATCTATAGGGTAACCTGGTCTAGGAGTACGCACTTAAGGTTTAAACTATTCTAAAAAAATAAAAATCAAGTCTAGGAAATCAACTAGGCATTTATTACGTTTATTATTTAAACATCTTTCATAAAGTAACATAAAAAAGAACAAAATAACGTTTTATCACTTAAAATAACAGAAATAATAAAAAATGGGAATTGCGTACTCTTACAAGTACTATTGGATAAGAGTACGCATCTACGTCGATAAGAGTACGCAGCTCTTGCATTACTTGCAGAGATCGCAAATGAAATTTCCTTGACCCTCATAAGTCGTACAAGCCTCATGCCACCACTCAAAACATTTTGAGCATCCTATCCAGTCTTCTGCGGGAGGGTCTACATAGACTTCAGTACATGCTGGGCATCTCCAAACCTTTTTTTTTGGGCATTTTCTTTGGCACTTTAAAAGGTTGTTTGCCCTTTTTAGGAAGAGGTTTTGAATTTGTTTTTGGAACAATCTTTGATTGAATCTTCGGTACATTTTTTGGTACTTTCTTTGAAGCCAAAGACTCCTCGAGAGCCAGCTTATACGGAGACCCACTCAAAATATCTGACTTTGCTCTTTTGCGGTTCGATCTTGAAAGATATTCAGCTCGTGGAAGGGAGGCTAAATTTTCAAGGGGTATATGAGGCGATTCGATGCTTTGAATAGGAAGACTGGCAAGTGGTGTACGGGCTCTATCTATCTCAATGAACGGCTGAACAGACGACGTATCATTTGTTGAGCACGAGGGCTGTGGAGAATTGCTGGGAGCGTTATTCTCATGGTCAACATGTTGTACCAAATCATCAGTTGGTTGGGAAATCCGTGCTTCATTAGATTTGGCCAAAGGCATATTTTCTGGTAGATCGCCAGTTGGTTGAGAAATCTGTGCTTCATTAGATTCTGTCAGTGGCTTTTCTGTCACTGCACTGGCCAGGAAATCTTCTTCTCCAAAAATGTCCGGGTTGAACGGTTGTATTCCGGATATCTTGAAACTCTGGATGCCATTTGCCGGAGAAGTTGCTTTAAGGTAAGCCGGAGTCAATATTTGTGCAATCTGATAAACGGTTATCACTCGACCGGGATGGTTACGCATCCATTTTTCACACTCTGATGCATAAAAAATTTTGAGGCTGTTATGGATGCAGCGATCGAGTGGTTGAGTTTTATGACTGCTGTGAGGTGGGATTGTCAAGGCATGAATGTGGTTTTGCCGGAAGAAATTGACCGCGTCTAACGTGCAGTGTGACGTGTGATTATCTAGGATTAATAATACTGGATGGTCTTTGCTAGGCTTTGCGTGGTCTTTAAAATGAGATAACCAGTCAACAAACAAAGAACTGTTGATGTAACTCGAGTCTGACACCATTCCTATAGAAGAAGGTGGGGCTCCATCCAAAAGCTCAGCTTTCATACGTTTGCGTGGAAATATGAAGGCTGGTGGAATAAAATTCCCTGCAGCGTTGACCGCATTCACGAGTGTCACATTGATGCCACGTTCAGCACTGGAAATCTTGTTGACGCAACGCTTCCCTTTAGTAGATATCACCTTTGGAGCTTTATTTGGCACTGTGGAGATTCCGGTTTCGTCCATATTATAAATTGCATGAGGAGGGAACTTGTAAGTGTCTAGCAACCTCGCCAGATTTTCAAAATAGCCATCGCATTGAGGCTTATTAAATCCTATAGCACGAGCAACGCTGGTGGAGGTTGGTGCTCTTAACGACAAATTTGGGTGCCGTTTCAAAAAAAGGCGGAGCCACTCTGTACCAGCCATTTCTTTTCTTTGTTAAAACGATGTTTTAATCCATTCTTTTCAGCAAAATCATAAGCAATTTCTCGTATTTTTTGAGTGGTTAATCCATAGAACATGCTATCTACTTTTTTGATATAGTTACAGAGTTCTATTTCCATTTCACGGGAGAAGGTTTGGAAGTATCTGCCCAAACTTGAAGCTGGAGACGATCTCTTAAGTCTCTTTCGCAAAGTGGCTTCATGCATCCCCAAGGATTTAGCCACTGACCTCTTCGATTCGCCTTCCTCGACGCGAGTTTTAGCGTTGAGCCACTGCTCTGGAGTACAAAGTTTTCTTTCACTTTTTCTTTGACGTCTAGACATCTTGTGTACAAAATTAAAAATTACCTACAAATTTCATATATTTTTATTTAATTATTAGGAACAAAATAACTAATAAATACAGTAACTAAAGTAACTTAAAAACAATTGCGTGTAAGAGTACGCGCGTACTCTTATACGGTACAGAACTGCGTACTCATACACACTATACCCAAATCGGAAACGAACGAAACTCAACGCCATCTCTTGGCGTGAACCGGAATTACGTGCGCTGCATGAGTTAAACATTGCCTTTGAAAACTACACAGTTTACTTCGTTTTCAGAAATTAATTACATTGATGTCTTAAAAATACTTTCAAAATGGTAAAAATAATTAGTATTTTGAGCACAAATCTTTAAACTTACGTAATTTCTATGTTTTCATCCGGATTTGATTTTTTTTTTCGCACAGCACTTTTTCACACAGTTGAAACCAAAATACGACTGATGTTAGCTGATTATCGTGACGAACTTCACGGCTATGAGTATTGCGTACTCTTATCGGATGCGTGCTCTTAGACCAGGTTACCCTACCTACCCGAAATAATAAAACAGATAACAACACATCATATATTACAAAACAAATTAATATAATCCATTCTTAATACGTTTACAATACATTTCACAAACCAATTTTCCCCTTCTTTTAATTCGATAGTCAACCGGATCAATGTAGAAGATAAAACTTTTTTGTCTTTGGTGATGTGGTACCTACGTTGTTATTGGATTCTTCTCTACATCTAAGAGGTTCCCCGACTGAAATGAGGAGCCATAACGCAACATTTTTGTTGCTTCTTTTGTTGTGTCAAATGTTTATTTTATTGTTAGTTCGGCATTCGTAGTATTTAATTATTTAATAACGTATGATTAAAATTTCTTAAAAAATCTTGTTTCAATAATAATACGGTGTAAAATGCAATGCCTTAGGGTGTCCCTCTCACTCACACTCAGCAGTCAGGCGCGTTTGTAGGATCGCCGGGTGGTAATTTTTTAATTATTCTGATAGGCCGACGATATTTATCGCGTTTCAAAATTAACCTTTATGCGCAGGAATGTCAGTAAATATCATATATATAGATAGAAAATCCAACTAAAATATGTCACAATTACAGACACAAATCGTTGAAGACGGAATAATTTAAGCTATTTCAGTTGAGTTTATAACACTTATTCTTCGTTTCCGTAACCTAGAGTGGTTCGCACGCCGGTGTCGCCATCTCTGAGGTCCCGGGTTCGATCCCCGGTAGGGTCAAAGTAGAAAATGAACTTTTCTATATTGTGTCGGGTCTGGGTGTTGTGTTACTTACGTTGTTCACAGATCCTCCATAATACGGGAGCTTTGACTACTCATGTTGGAATCTGAACAATGTATGTGATATTGTGTAATATTTATTTAATTAGTAAGTTTTCGTAAGTAAGTTTTCGTAATATAACTTACCAAAAACATTATGTGTCCACTGAATGTGATAAACATTAATACTGCAATAACCACACTCTCGCGCACCCATTTATCTAAAAAAACAAAAAAAAAATTAAAGAAAAATGTTTCAAATTAATAACCTACTAACAATAATCTCACTTTTTGGGGATCCCTTATTTTTAGGGTTCCGTACGTCCAAACGTGACCAAAATGTTACTTAGCCTTCCTGTCCGTCTGTCTGTGACCAGAATTATTCGTCACGTACTATCGTACATACTTTGTTAAGCCGTTTGACATAATTCCGACAGATTTGCACCTAACGACCCTTACAATATTTATTTTTATATCTACATTTACATTGGTTCGTTTATATATGGCTAATATATATATGTTAGGACTAATAAAAAAACAGACGCCATTATCTCACTTACCTATATAAGAATTTGCTGTAAGTATAAAAAGTGGTCCCGCGAAGAACCATAGAGTGCCACAAATGGAGAACGGACAGTAGAAAGCATTCTGAAATTTAATTCAAAATGCCATATAATATTGATGATTTAGTTAACACGTTGAATAAATTTTGTATTATGAATACAAACAATATTTAAATTAAGTGTTATCAAATATTTAAATTATAGAAAAATACTTAAGAAATCGATCAGCCACTCTGTACTGTCAATTCTGTACTCTTTATTAAAAATAAATTAAATACATCCCTATTTTATCTGCGGTCAAATTAATGACATATTGTAATCGCTATGTTTCCGCACTATATGCTTTTAATTAATTTCATAAAACTCACCTTCTCTGGATATTTTTTGACAGTGAAAAATGTCGAGTAAGCGAACACGCACCAAGCCATTATTCGCAACACTATGAGTCCGTAGCCGGCTGGACTTTCATACAAGTACAGTACTTCGCCTGGATCGAAAGCCTGCAAATAATACATACGGCACTCACCTTTACCAGGAATACACTCATTGAATGTCGAATCGAATTCATATCGAAAACAAACGTCAAATTATGCATTCGAAATCGTAGTTTTAGTAAAATTTTCGATTTTAAAAATTTTTCACCTACAGGAAGCTACATCATACGCGTGTGATATAGGCCATAACATACGCAAGCGAAGTCGCTAGAAAACAGCTAGTAGTTCATACAAACATTCTAATTAGAGATGCGCCGAATATTCGTTTGGTATTCGGTATCTTTTTCACTATTAATATTCGACCGATTTATTCTGTTTTGGTGCCGAATATATTCGATTCGAGTATTTCTATTTTTTTGGCTACAAGGCACAGTATAGAACTTAAAGCCAAAACTTGTTATCGTAGATTTATGTTACATATAAGTCAAAGAAATCCTATTAAAGTATGTGTTAAATAAAGCTAATAACATAAAGCAATGAAACTTTAAATCATACAATTTTAATGAATGAAATAAAATGCTCAAAAGACCACCAGCTCTACGTTCTCTGAGACGTGATTCGAACTCCACCTTGGGCAATCCGAGCGTCTGCTGTAACCACTAGGTGAAAAATGTTTCAAGCTTACTTTCCACTACTAGTGAGTATGGTAACCCATATAAATAATGAAATGGTAAACCGATAAATTTGGCCGAATATCCGTTTCAGTTAAAATTAAAACGAATACTAATCGGTATTCGGCGCATCTCTATTTATAATGTACATTTCATTGATAATCTTACCTTAGCTTGATAGATGAAAAGTACCATGTAAGTAACGATGTAACAACACATGAATATAGTCAGTCTCACGGTGAAGCCCACTTTGAGGCGGCCCCTGGTTATAGTATAACCCTTCGCCATCAGTATCAGAAGGAGAAGAAATGTTGTTTCAGCGACGCTGCATAAGAACTGTCCTGTACAAGAAATAATACAAAGATTTTCAAAAGAATTTATTCACCACAATCGTTGCTGCTATAAAATAATCCGCCATATCTATCTATATGGATAAACAATAACAAATAAAAAATAGAACTTAAATTAAAGAAACAAGTTTTAATATAGCTTCATCATCAGCCCTTTTACGTCCCCACTGCAGGGACTCAGGCCTTCCTTATGGATGGTTAAGGAGGATGGGCCATGACCCTCCATGCTGGCCCAATGCGGATTGGAGGGTATTAATGACAGCAAATGCAGACGGGACCAACGGCTTAACGTGCCTTCTGAAGCACGGAGTAGCTCGAGATAGCTTGGCTAGCCAAAAGATTACAAATGTTCCACAAAACAGTCCCCCAACTGTACTGAGAATTTTACAAACTGAACAATTTCGCATTCACAATGCCATACTGAAAAATATTCTTATTGAAAAATGCTTAAAAATCCACTTTCCACCTGGCATTCTGAGATGAGACTCGAACCCATTACCTTTACGCAAACCGGGCGGCTGCTCTTACCGCTGACATGCCCAAGACCGTAAATACGAAGTAATGGCGTAAAAGGAATAAGCGCTTGAAAAATTAGTCAGTCCTGTTAGGTCCTTGGTAGCTCAGTGGTTAGCAAGAGACAAAGTGGATTTGTTTAAGCATTTTCAAAAAGAACACAACTTGTTTCTTTTATTTAAGTTCTATTTTGACAGTCGTGTTTTTTTATTTATTTGTTTTTCCTTTTAGTGAGCAGCTTTCTTCAGGACTCGGGATGAGGTAAAGTTTCTAATAATACCATTATAATATGGGAATCCGTTAAGTCTTTCAAAAGTTATCGTGGAATAAAGAAACTTATATACATACAAATGTAATTGTATTATGACTTGCCTAAGTTGCGAAATATAACAAAGGGTGAATAAAATATTGAATTGAATTGAAGTGAGAACTAATTTCACAATTTTGATATGGTGTTGTGAATTATAATTAAATTAGAATGGGATGATTATATTTGAAATGAAAATATCTTTAATCAAGTAGGCTTATTTACAAGCACTTTTGAATCGTCCTAAAAAAATTTTTCCCCTACCACTTGTTCAGGACGTCTTTTAGCTGAAAAGAAGAACAAGCGAAAGTAACTTACCAGCTCTTAGTCATAAGTAATGACATTTACATAAATCATGATATTACCAAAATAATATGTATTATCACAATAATAAATACAACTTTCAAAATCTGTAGGTCATTGGCTGTACATATAATTAGTCGTTACAGAACAAAGCAAACTTTCTACATTCTAGGAGTAAATTATACTCTAGAATCTCGTACTAAGTTAATCTTTGCCAAATCTCTGTTTGAAATATGAATTTTGACTAATACCAAGTGCAGTCTGAACGTAAATTTACTCCAACACTAAACCTTGTTTTTTAATATCACTGTATGGGCGGCACCAATTTCTTTTTTTTTAATGGAACAAAGTTCGCCAGGCCCACTAGTGATTTCGCATAGTCGACGTGCATATTACCTGTAGTACTGAGCCCTTCCATCCTGATACCGTTTGAAGCGTACTTAATGGCAGCGAGGGCTTGCAGCAAAGCACCCGCGTGCTGAGCGGTGACGGACATCAGGAACAGCTTGTACGTGGCGTGCAGTAAATGACGAGAGCGCAACTCCACACTACACATCACTGCCGCCACCAATACCGCAACGTACGCGAACAGGTACGCCAGCAATACCGGGAGGACGTCTGACAAAAATAATATAAATAAGACTATTGATAAATAGACGATAGAAAGATAAGAAGGACCGACTGAACATCGTCTATTATTGGAAGATAGATGATAGAAAATATAGAAAATCGTAATAATACCTAGAGTTAGAAAAAGAATTATCTTTACAAAATCCTATATAGGCTGCGATGGTATGGATATGTTCTTAGACCCATTAAAATAAATAAAACAAAAAACATACTGTTCGGTTTCAAAATGCGTTACAAACAAAGTATTGAATATGGTAACACAACTTTATTCATCCGCCTACCTACCTTTCCCTAACTTGGACAAATATAAAATAATCGAGGGTAGACAGACAGTTACTGAGAGCTGCCTGTTGCATCTCCGCCGCCATAGCCAGTGGTCGATCCCGCAAGGTCCCGTTCCAACCAAATCTTAAAGCGCGAAAGTGTATACAGCAAATGCTTAGAAAATCAACGCTGTGTGATGGGGCAGTAGGACAAGAGCAAAATTATCCCAGAACAACGTGGGAGACTTACGACCAGCGGCTTAATACCCTGGGCTATCGAAGAAAGTAAAAGTTTTGTTCCACAAAAAAGAAACTTTCTGTCCCTCACACACACTGTTATAAGATATGGAAATACGAGAGCTGGCCACATGGGTGATTAGTATGGGCGTAAAATCCTGCGTTGATTTAACAAGCTCTAATTCCTCAACTTTAATGCCTATTATCTAAGCCATTTCTAATTAAATTGAAGCAAAAAAAATAGTTTCTAATATTCTATCAAACCTTTTTTCTAATAGAATAGCAAATATGGTAATATCGAGATTGTTTTTGTTTTGATATCTCATCCGCTTAGTAAGCAATGTTGTTCAATGCCAGCTGCTATTTGGTTTCTGTGTATTTTGAAAACGTTATTACTTGACAAACTTTTTGTGCAACAAGTGGAATGTGTGCACTAGTAGATAATTAATAAAAAAGTCTATCTTTAGTGTATTGAAATGTTAATATCCTTTATTCAAATAAGCTTATAGCAAGCACTTTCTAATCGTCTAAAAAATTATTTATCCGTAACACACAGGATTAGGACCTTATGGCTGACAAGAAAAATGAGCGAAATTAACCAGCTCTTTAATTAATGATAAGCGGAGAATTCACTAGAGGGGCATGCCCGCGGACAACTTGATATAAAATTATCTAAATTATGTATTGACAATCCCTTTCGAAGAACGATAACTTCATTAACATCGATTGAGTAATATCACGTGCATACTTTGTACTGGGTGGCATCCGTAGTTACAAATTAGGTGATGTGATACTTAAAAAAAAAGAATTATTAAATAAACCTATCTACATCTTACGTAGTTAGTGATTGAATGTAAACTGAACTTTTGTTTTACAGAGTCCTATTTATTTTCGAGACAATCAAGCATATGATGATATCGTGGGAATACAAAGGATGCCTCTTGAAATTCTAGTAAAAAGGTAATTAAAATTGTTTAGCTCTAAATAGGTTTAGAACGATGGCCCTTTGAAATTAGATAATCATAAATGTTTCCTACAGGAAAACATATGCCTTTTTGTTTACAAATTGCAGTGAAATTAATATACATATTAAAAGGTTCTAAAATGATAATACCAAACAATGGGAACATTGATAGTAAATAAAATAATCATGAAACTCTCCTAGACATATATATATATGAAGGGCTTAACACCATGTGTCATAAGAGGAAAGGGTCTAGTTGTAAATCACAGTCAGTCTGACAAATGCTGAACTAGATGCCCTTTTGTCACTCTATTATTTTGCTTTGTATGTTTTTTGTGTTTTATGTCTGTTGTTTCCTATATGTGTGTTAAACAAATAAGTTTGATTTGACTAGTCCAGAGAAATGCCTGACGAACCTCGCGGCTATAAGTCTCTGTAATGGTTCTAGTGTAGGACCGTCGCAGTCATAACACAGAAGTTCGGTGGACATGTCTGCAGACTTGCCCGCGGGCATGTGCGTTTATTAAATTCCCGCATTACCAGAAATAATATGTATCACAATATTTTTCAATGTCATACATACATAGGATTTTGACGGATTCAATCCTTAGACAAATGAATAAAAGGCTGACTAAGCTCGAGAACTTAATTTAATTGATGGTAATGAAAGAAAACTGTTTCTTTTGGGTTTGATAAGTAATTTAACTTTATTACATTTTTCTTGAGTTCAAAATCGTGAGCACAATTAAACCAGGTAATAATGAATTTTCACACCTTTTACAATAAATTGATTGAAAATATGTAGGTGTTTCTAACACAGACTTAGTGTTTCTAACTCGCCGAACTCACATTCATAAAGAGCATATTGGACAAAGAGCATAAGATCAAAGACAAAAAGTTTGCATGCCAAAACCTAAGACGAAATAAATGGCGGTACGACGACGCACCGTTACAGGATTGGTTGTCGTTAATCAGTGTAGAATAAAGCGAAGTCTATTAATTCCATATTTTCTAATGAAGCAGTTGTTTACCCGCGACTTCGCCTGCGTAAATAATAGCATATGTCACGCGTATGATGTACCCGTATGTGAAAATAATATTTAAAAGCGTTCCAGTAGCTTCGAAACCTTTTCAATGCAAACAAACAAACAAATCTTTCTTTTTATAATATTAGTATAGATACGTACAGAACTCGTCTGCCGAAAAATGTTGATGCCAAAAGTCGCCTTCCGGTCCATTTGTCATCAAGAATTTGTATTTGACATCTAATCCCTATGAAAAGAAAGAAATAACAGAATAGTAAATTTATATATTTTATTATTATTGTAATAATTTCAACTATTGATAATATTTAATGCGAAATATGTACACATATAATGCCCACAATCTAGAATTTCCATAAAAAAAATTAAACTTTACTTCACGGACAGGGATTCAGGCACGTAGAAGTATTATAATATCTGATAGAGTTGGGAAAACATTTCGCTGTCTATAAATTATCATAAACAACCTTCAAAGAGTGAGAAAGAAAGGCAAGATTCCGATGTCGCCCTGCCTCTCTACTAACGCATGCATATCTAAAAAATCGGGCAAGTGCTAGTCGGACACGTGCACGAAGGGTTCCATACCAGAAACGATAAATAAAATTATGTTTTTTGTATGGGAGCCCCCTTAAACATTTGTTTTATTCTGGTATTTGTTGTTAAAGCGGCAACAGAAAT